TGGTGCTGGAGAAGAGTGTTGAATATACCATGGACTGCTAGGAGAACAAACAGGTTTGTCCTGGAGAGGGTAAAGCCAGAATGTTCCCTGAAGTCAAGGATTCTGAAGCTTCGTCTGACATACTTTGGGCATGTTGCAAGGAGGGACTGGTCCTTGGAGAGGGACATCATGTTTGGGAGAGTTGAGGGATGATGTAGGAGAGGAAGACCCTCGATGAGATGGATCGATTCTGTGAGTGGAGTGGTGGGAATGAATGTGTTTGAGACAGCGAGATTGGCACAGCATAGAACGGCGTTTAGGGCTTTTGTACATAGGGTCACTATGAGTCACAAATGACTTGATGGCACATAACAACAACAACATAGTTTCTTGCATAAGTGTTTTTTGTAATTTTCTTTGTGTGTTTTGTGTCTCTAGTTAAGTTTACTCCCAAGTATATAAATTTGTGGTTGTCTATTGTAAATGGTGTTGCTTTCTCATTTTCTTTCTCTGTGCTTTCTTTGTTACTGTAAAGGAATCCCACAGACTTGTGTATATTGATTGTATTATGCCGCTCTACTAAATTGGTCTGCCAGCTCTCACAGTTTTTTTGTTGAGTTTTTGGGGTTTTCTGTGTACACTGTCATATCATCTACACATAGTAGCAGTTTCACCTTCTCTTTGCCGATCTGGATGCCTCTTATTTCCTTTTCTTGCCCTATTGCCCTAGCAAGTATTTCTAATACAATATATACACTATTGAATAGGAGTGGTGACAGTGAGCTTCCTTGTCTGGTTTCTGTTCCCAAGGAGAATGTTTTTATTCTTTCTGCATTGAGAATGATATTGCCTAGTTTTGACAGCCAATACTGAGCTTCTCCAGTGATCCCTTTCATAGATGTAGTCAGTCTGATTCCTGTGCAGCCAATCAGGTGAGGGCCATGTGCAAAGCCACCGTTGTGTCTTTAAAGAGGAGTTATTCCTTGGAGAAGGACATGATACTAGGGAAGGTGGGGTCAGAGAAAGAGATGAATTAGCTGAATTGACATGGTGACTGGCTCAATAAATGAGCTCTGATGTGTTAGAGAGTGTGAAGATGGCACAAGATAGAACAAGGTTCAGATCTGTTGTTCATAGGCTCACTCTGTGTCTTACTTAACTAGATGGCACCTAATAACATCTCAAGAGTTGATTGGTTTAAGACACACCCTGCATTGATTTGAAAGAGAATTCATTTTTTATATATTGTTATTTTGATCTGTGCAACATAAATTAAACTTTTGTTTGTGTTCTTTTTCAATTATAATGAAGTTAAGTAGGATTTTAATAGAAGATTTAATGTTCAAGTTGCAATACTTAAGGATGCTTTGGGCACAATATTAAATGATTCAGGAAGCGTTAAAAGAAGATGGAAAGAATATACAGAGTAACTGTACCAAAAGGAATTGGCAAACATAGAAAAATTTAATGAAACAATGTATGAACAAGAACCTGTGATGATGAAGAAAGAAGTTTAAGCCATTCT